AGGTTTGACCATAGTGTCCAACCATTAACTTCTTCCGTTCTGTTCTTCTCGTGATTACATAACTGTCCAGGTTTGACCAGAGTTTATTCTTTGTTGCTAAGTAGTGGGTTAGTGTTAGATTTGAATAAGTGTTGTTACTCGTCTGAAATGGCGAGAAATATTATTTCTTTTCACGGTTTGTACAAATAAGGGTTTACTTTTTCATTTGATAATGAATGTGGTGGTATTAATGCCTTTTATAATAATGTTCTTTATTTTAAAGCATTACGTTGTGATGGTGTATATGAAACTATGTCGTTTGTAGACAACTTAGGAAATAATGTGTTGCATATCGATTCTTCCACTAGTTTGGATAAGGCATCCTTGTGGCATTGTCGTATTGGACATGTCAACAAGAAGCGCATAGGCCAGCTCCAAAAGGCTGGAGTCTTGGAGTCATTTGACTTAAAGTCAGATGATAGTTGCGAGTCTTGTTTGCTTGGAAAAATGACAAAGTCACCCTTCACTGGCACTTGTGCTAGGGGTGAAGGTTTGTTGGATCTCGTACACACAGATGTGTGTGGACCCTTCAGAACCGCCACAAGGGATGCTAACCGCTTCTATGTGACTTTCACTGATGATTACAGTAGATATGGTTATGTCTACTTAATCAAGCATAAGTCAGAAACCTTTGAAAAGTTCAAAGAGTTTAAACAGGAAGTGGATAATCAGTTGGGCAAGAACATTAAGATGCTCCGATCCGATCGAGGAGGAAAGTATCTTAGCACAGAGTTCCTTGGCTAACTTAAGGAATGTGGAATTGTTTCACAATTGACGCCTTCCAGAACACCACAGCTTAATGGTGTGGCTGAGAGGCGCAATCGAACCTTGTTAGACATGGTTCGTTCCATGATGAGTCGAGCTTCGTTACCAATCTCATTCTGGGGGTATGCCTTAGAGACTGCCGCCCATATCCTTAATCTAGTCCCTACCAAGAAGGTTGCCAAAACACCTCACGAGATGTGGATTGGGAAAGTTCCCAATTTAAACCACATCAAGATTTGGGGTTGCGAGGCTTTCGTGAGACGTGAGACTCAGGACAAGCTCGAACCTCGTAGTGAGCGGTGTGTTTTCATCAGCTACCCACCGAAATCCTTTGGTTACCTCTTTTACAGACCCAGTGAGAATGTGGACTTTGTGGCAAGGAGAGGGGTCTTTCGTGAGAGAGAATTTATAAGCCAAGGAAACAGTGGGAGGCAAATTGACCTTGAAGTGCTTCAAGAGTCAAGTGGTGAAGGAACCTCAAACCCTAGCAATCAACCTGAGGAGGAAACTCCTGTTGAACCAACTGACGAGTCTGTACCTCTGAGACGTTCCACTAGAGTTAGGAATGCACCTGAGCATTACTATGGTTTCCATATTACTGCGGAAGGTGATGCATTTATCAGTGATAGTACACTGGTAAATTTGGATGAACCTAAAATCTATAGGGAAGCCATGGCAGGCCCTGAGTCTTCTAAATGGAAAGAGGCTATGGACAGCTAAATTCAGTCCATGTATGACAATCAAGTTTGGAACTTGGTTGACAATCTACCGGGTCGTAAGACGTTCAGGTGCAAATGGATCTTCAAGAAGAAGACCGACATTGGATGGGAAAGTGCACACTTATAAGGCGCGACTGGTTGCGAAGGGCATCACTCAAACTCAGGGAGTTGATTTTGATGAAACCTTCTCACCAGTAGCAAATATTAAGTCTATTAGGGTTATGCTAGCCATTGCTGCATTTCATGATTATGAAATATGGCAAATAGATGTCAAAACCGCTTTCCTTAATGGAAAGTTGGTTGAGGATGTTTACATGAGTCAGCCAGAGGGTTTTGTCAGTGCAGAGTACCCTGATAGAGTGTGCAAGCTTGAGAAATCCATTTATGGGTTGAAACAAGCATCTCGCAGCTGGAATCTTTGTTTTGATGAGAAAGTCAAAGCGTTTGGTTTTTTGAGAAGCGGAGATGAGTCCTGTGTGTATGTCAAAAGCTAGTAGGAGTATAGTTAGCTTTTTGGTACTGTATGTGGATGACATACTACTCATGGGAAATGACATCCCAACTTTGCAGGAGGTTAAGTCCTGGCTTGGGAAGTGTTTCGCTATGAAGGACCTTGGAGAAGCTGCCTATATCCTAGGGATAAGGATATTGAGATAAAGAAGTAAAATACTAATTGGACTTAGTCAAAGCACCTATATGGACAAAGTGTTGAAAAGGTTCAATATGCAAAATTCCAAGAAAGGTGACTTACCGATCCAAAGAAATGCCAAACTGAGCAAGGCTTAGAGCCCGAGTACAGAGGCTTAGATAGATGAGATGAGTCGATTACCATATGCTTATGTTGCTGGCTCGATCATTTATGCTATGACTTGTACCCGCCCTGATGTGGCCTTTTCTTTGAGCATGGTCAGCAGATATCAGGGGAATCCTGACAAGACTCACTGGACTGCGGTGAATAACATTCTCAAGTACCTGCGGAGGACTAAGGACTGGGACCTTACCCTTAGTGGGAGCGATGATTTGAGAGTAGTGGGGTATAGTGACGCTAGCTTTCAGACTGATAGGGATAATTTCCGCTCTCAGTCGGGTTGGGTCTTTACCATGAATGGAGGAGAAATTACGTCGAAAAGTTCCAAGCAGGAGACAGTAGCTGATTCGACATGTGAATCAGAGTACATAGCAGCGAGTGAAGCGGCGAAGGAGGCGATATGGCTGAGGAACTTCATCGGAGACCTTGGAGTTGTACCAGCTATAAAGGAGCCTATGGAGATTTTCTGTATCAGCAATAGTGCGGTTGCCTTAGCCAAGGAACCGAGAGATCATGGCAGATCCAGACACATTGACAGAAAATATCATTTCATAAGACACAAGATAGAAGAAGGACTCCTCGTGGCAAAGAGGTTATCGTCAGAAGAGAACCCAACAGATCCCCTCACGAAGGGACTGACTAGGGTTAGGCATTTGCACCATGCGAGGCGCATCAGGCTGAAGGACGATATTAGTTTTACAGATTAGATAGCTATTTCTGAAACTTGTAAAATGTAATTAACATTTGATGATTAAATAAAAGTTGTTGTTTATTTATAAGTAAGGTGTTGCTATCTTGAGTCAATTGTTTACTATTGTTTCAAATTTTGCATGTTTTGACTTCCAAAATTATTACTTTATTCAAACTCTCCACAGTCAGTCATATGTTGGAAGTAGGTATGAATCAAGACTGTCATGAATTGGGCTTGTAGATGTCTAAGGTGTTAGACATAGCAAAAGTTGCTACAACATTCATGAGTGCTCATAAGTTCTGAGTATTTGATTAAACCCACGATCACTTGTATCACTTCATGGAATTTATCTCGAGTGATCGTGAGACGGTAATATCATATAAGTCTTCAAACCTAGAGATATGAGTTGTTGACTATGAGTTGGTTGTGCATTGATTGCACGAAAACTCATCAGTAACTTGATGTTATAAAACGTGCCTTTGTGTATGATTCAACAAATAGTTAGTACAAACATATGAGTCGAAGTTTATATGTTCCTTCTAGTCTTTGGAGGATTAGAAGCAATATATGGGCCCCTCTATGATTTGGTTTTGACCTATGTACCGGGCCCGGTCAGAACCAAATTGATGTGTTCAGTTTAATTCTATGTCACACAAATCGGAAATCGAGAAACAAACTGTTGGACAATAAGTATGACATTGTTCCATGTATTTGTCCGGCTGATATCTAGAACAGAGGATTATATGATCACTTATCTAAAATGGCACTTCATAGTTCAACAGAGTTTTAAGAGCTACGATTGTTGGTCGGTTCCTGAAGTCAGACTTGCAACTATAGTTATCAGACTTATCCAAGTGGGAGACTGTTGGATAAGGTGTCTAAGTCCGTAACTATATTTGGTATGTACTTGACCCGACCTGGCATGGTCCATTTGGGTTGCACTCCACCGAAACAATTTGTATGGATAATCTTTTGAGAATAGTGTATTTATAATTTATTAATATATTATTAGTTATAATATATTAATATGAAATCATATTATTTAATTAGTATTGATAAAGAGTTAATTTAGAATTAATTTAGTGATCAAAAGGAACTAATTAAATATGGACTCTTATATATATATATATATATATATATATATATATATATATATATATATATATATATATATAGAATGGGCCAAGTTCATTTAGGATGGGCTAAGCTTGCATGGATAGTCCATGGGGTTTTTAACCCATGGATCTTATGGAAATGAAAGGTCATGGGTATTAAGGTTTACATGGATGTAACCCTAATCCTCCATACTATATAAAGAGGTCTTTGGCACATGAAATGGCACTAGTGTGTGAGTATACAAGGGTGGGCCGATTTCTACAAGTGCATTCTATTCTCCCAAGCTTTCCAAATTGATTTTGTGATTTCTGATTCCACTTGAGGCATCCACATTATTGGTGTTAGGCTCTTAAGACTCCAAGCAATCAACCATAAGAAAAGGTATGTTATTCTACTCAAGTTTTATATTACAAGTACCCCATAACATGCTAGTTAGGTTGAGAACCTTGGAAAATCAAATTTGCATGTATAATAGAGAAAAAATAGATCCAAGGTTTCTAAGGTTGCATGTACACCATAGGAGTGTTAGAATGCTCAAAACTCATCAGCATTGGCTAAGAAAACTCAGAAAATAAAGGTGCTACAAGAAAAATTAAGGAACGCATCGATCAATATTGCGAAGCTTGAAGAAGAAAAGATTTTGGTTCAAGGATGCAACTTTGAAATTAACTAACGAGTGTTGCGTATCTTCGAGTCTAGAGATTCTCCGTTCACTGAATATGTTGGTCAGATTCACAGTGAGAAGCTTAAGCTTGTGTTTGAGAAGCTTAATGAAATCAAGAATGTTACGAGAATCGAGGCTTCTTCGCAACAAGGGGGAGAACCAGAGGTAAACTTAAAGAATCTGTATCAGACAGGCTTCATGAAGAAAAATAAAGAAGTTGATTCGATTATGTTAGAAAAGAAAACTATGGATGAAAAATTTAAGAATATCAAGGAATTCAAGACTGGTCGGAGGGATCATGTATCTTCAGGATCAGGAAAGGGCAAAGTCAACATCGTTTCCAAAAAAGTTACTGAGGAAGATCTGACGTTGACTGAGAAAGAAAAGGTTGCAAGAGAAAAGAGGGATAAGGAACTTGATGAGCTCAATGCCTTGAGGGAAAAATTGGATGTTGAAGAGGCCGAAGCCAGGAATTCAGAAATGATTCTTGAGAATAATAAAGCTCTATTTCCGGCCTGGATGCTTGATCGTATGCAAAGTAAGCTATCGATGAGTCAAATACTTTTTGGTTGGAACCAAAAACCTATTTCGACATCAAAAACGAAGTGGAGTGTCAGTTCGATTTCCCTATCACTCCAAGAACTTTGATCTCCAACAACGCAACAAACTAAAAGCTCTTCTCATTCTACTTGAAATATGCGAAACCTCAGTACGATTCATGGAGTATGAAAAGAATCATGGGTCTGAAGGTTGGTCTTCCCATTCAAACAAAAGACTACGAACATTCAATTCAAACGATTCCGAGGTCACAATAATATTGTTCACGAGTTCACATTGGCTGATCTACCATTTATTAACCCCTATGATTGTATTTCGTTATTCTACATTGTTGCAAAGGATATAAAGAAGTTCGATCCTATCTATGAACATTTGAAGAGAATGATCAAATGCTATATCCAGGAGCTGGCAAAGATGGATGTAGAAATTGCTTCAGTTCTGAAAAGAAAACCTATACTGAAGCCTAATTGATCAACCGCAAAACATTGAAAATCTAAAGGGATGATTGATTAACAAAAAATATTGGAGCATTGTTTATAAGAGGAAGGAATGTGAAGAGATTAAGAACTGTATGTTCTTTCTGAGGGATAAACACTTATACCCTACAAGTGTTCTGAAATCAATCCTAGCTTGGGCCGAAGCAAACAAGTCCAACTCTGGTGTCGACTTCAAGTGTGTTTCTGGTATGATCCGCTGGTATCTATCTGTCAGGGCATTCATTCTGAAGATTATGTCGAAGATTTTTGAAGATCAGAAACAATAAAGACTACTTCATTCTGATTTGACACAAAGGGGGAGATTGTTAAGTCATCATTTGTGTTGTGTCAAAATGGTTGTTTTCGGAATTTAGTCTAGTTCAGATTCCGAAATTGGGCATGTCTGTTTTCAGAATCTTTATCTTTTGCGTCTATAAATAGTGTATTGTTATTGTCTTTTTCAGTAGATGTCGTCCTAGTATTGAAAGAATAGTTCCAATCTTGTATACGAATTTTTCTAATGCTAAGTGAATGAAGTTCAATCTCTTTTTATTCATTATCGTTCCAAATCATTAATTCATCTTATAATATAGAATATATCGATCATTTTCTTCTAATAACAACTAGGAACCTCCCCAGAAAAATATTTAATACTTCGTTCATCGGTCTCATGAAAGTACTAGGTGCATTTGTAAGACCAAATGGTATCACATTCCATTCGTATAACCCATGTTTGGTATTGAAGGTTGTCTTCCATTCATCACCTTCTTGCATGTAAAAATGATGATACCCATTCCACAAGTCAAATCTTTGAAAACACCACCAACCCATGCAACTCGTCCAACATGTCGTCAACTCTAGGAATGGGAAACCTATACTTGATCGTTATATTTTTCACCACTCTTCTATCCACATACATATGGCAAGTCCCATCCTTCTTAGGCATGAGTAGAACCGGAACAGTACATGACTAACGCTCTCGCGAACATAGCCTTTGCTCATAAACTCGTTAATTTTCTTTTGTAGCTACTTCGTTTCCTCCGGATTGTGATGATAAGCCACCTTGTTTGATAAGTAAGCAACTAAAACAAGATTAATTTGATGTTCAATACCACGAATTAGGGGCAAACTCGGTGGTAAGTTGATTGGGAACACATCACGAAACTCCATGAGAAACTCTGCAATTGGACCCTCTTCTTTCTCATTCACCTCCTCCCTTGGGTCTTCTTTTGCAACAAGGATATAAATCTCCTCTCCTTGGTTGAGAACTTGTTCCACCTCCTTTTCACTAGCCAATACAGTAAGGTTTGGCTTTTTGTTATTCATCGATCGTACTTCTATTGAGGACATGGGTGACACATGATTATCTTACCATTGTGCTTCAGCTCATCCTTATCGAACTGCCAATGACATCCCAATAGAATATGGTAAGCATCCATCGGAATCACATCAAAGAAAATCTCATCCTTGTACGATCCCATAGCTAGACTAACCTAACTTTGTAACCATCTCACTCGAAGCCATGTTCATACAACTACCACCATTGATGATCAAACACCACCGATCATTCATGCACCACTTGCGTTTGCAAAGCTCTTAGAACCAATGACGTATCACATTTTGGTGCTTTATACTTTTCTTCCTCCTCTTCTCTTTCACAAACTTCCTCAACAACAAAAAGTATCTTCCAACACCGATTCTTCTTCAAAAAACTCATCTCGGATTACAATAGACTCTCTAAGCGTCACTATCCTCCTATTTGGACATGCGTTCTGATAGTTTCCGAACCCTTGACACTTAAAGCAACGAACCTTATACAGACTCATTTCCTTGTTCGCATTTCTTGCCTTCGGAGTCACAGTGGAACTATTCGCAACAACATGAGTAGTTGTTGTGGTCGCTTTCATACTTGCTTCTGATTTCACCTAAATCATGGGTTTACCAGATTCCCCACTAGAACTTCCCACGTACTTCGCCTTCCCTTGCGCTTCTACCTTCAAGCTCGGACTACAAAACGTGTCAAAATCAAAACATGGATAAAGTTCTACCATACCTGGGATATTTTAATTTATATCACGTATAACACATTTCATCTTTTGTTCTTCAGCCTCCTCAACATCTCCTAGCAACGATAACTTATCAAACTCATTAATGTATTCGCCCACACTTAATTTCCCTTGCTTCAAATCTGCCATCCTCTTATATGTGGTCGATCTATGATGAGTAGGCACACATATCTTCCAAACTTTCTATTTCAAAGATTCCTAAGTAATCTTTTCTTTACCCTCGCGAGCTCTTCCAATTTTCAAACCCTCCACTCAACTTCAAAACCGCATACTTACAGCACTTATCATCCTCCAACTCCTTAAATTCAAAGATTTTGTCGATCTTTCTTTCCCAGCCCTAAATTACCCATGCCTAGGATACTACGTTTCTCCTCCATCTTGAAAACCACACAAGGCTTCATGTAAAGTGTTCACGAAATTAGGATCGTCAACCTTCATGGTTTCTTGATGCGACTTCAAAAACACCAATATCAAGATCTATAAATTGAACAAAACTCGTCGGGAAAAATCGAAATCTAAGCTTTGATACCACTTATGATGCGAATACGAGGGGGTCTTTTTTCAAGTATTTTTAATGTAGCATAAAATCAAGAATAAGACAAGAAAGCAAGAATGATCAAAAACTTGTGCAACAAGAAACCAAGAAAAAAAAATATCTTTGATAAACAATCTAGACCTACAGATGGAGTATCGATGAAAACAAATCAAGATCTATTGATTTGAGTTCGAATCAACCTAGAAAACACGTCTTAGAATTGATAAGAAGTTAGTAAGCAACTCAAAAAGAAGACAAAACTCTTTATTCGATAATCAACAACATGTTCCAAAAAGGTTCGACTAAGGGGCTATTTATTAATAAAAGGAAACTGCCTTACAAAGGCTTATTAATAGCTAAAATAAACCAAACACACCTCTAGAACCTTCCAGCTTAACAAACATAGGAAACCATGCAAACTCCCCGCAATAGTGACTCCTCGTATCCATCATCCTCACACCCAAAAGCCAACACCATCCATTTGCAGTCACTCTCCATAGAATCGCAATCGCAACGAGTCTTATGGGTCTCACTATCGTTTTGACGCTCGCATCCGTGTAACATAGACTGCAACGCGTTGTGACCGTTCACAGTGAATCGTACCCGTTCTCATCCATTCTTCAGCACTTGCGATGGGTTGCGACCATTTGCAGTTAATTTCATATGTTCGCATTCATCACCCGGTTTGGAGTTTGACAAAGTCATTTCCGCATCCACAAGGCTTTTCTCATTCGCATCAAAAAACTGAAAATTTCTTCTGATAACAGTGATGAGATGTAGTTTTTTTATGTTAGTTTCATTTTTGTTTATAATTATATTCCTTTATTTTAGTTTATATGTTAAATCATGTTTAGTTTATGCAGTTATTTTGGTATTATAGTGTTTTCTGTGAATTTTATTCGTGTTAAGGTAATTATAGGATTACATGTACTTATACATGTATACTACATCAAAATTCGTTATAAAAAATCATCATTTCACTAGTCCAAAACATGTCCGAAAACCAAAAATTATGTCTAGAATACTTAGAACTCTCTAGAATACAACGAACCGGTGTCAGAATTTATAGTTCGGACTTGCGTTCCGAAATTTTTGGTCCGGACTTGCATTCCGTAACATACATACAAAAATGCCTAATTAGTTATTCTTTTGATTGTAACTCGATAGAACATACTGAGTTGTTATTACTACAACCTGCAGGCCTCAACTTAGGTGTGAAATCATGGCTTGTTTACAAAACCGACCAGTTTGTGGGGTCATGTTTAGGCAATCATGTTTTGGTGATTACATGAACATGTTGATAGGTGTTAAATGTGACCGTTTACTATGTCACTATCTTATGTGCAAGGAATTTACTATTTTTGATCCAGTTGACCTAAAAGAGCTTCTATTTCCGATTGGAAACTATCGCATTTGCTTTAACAGGAAAGCATTATGCTTGGTCACCGACTTGCAGTTTAGGTAGTATGTCCCTCCCAATTCTAGTTTTGTAGAGTTGAGAGAATGTGTGTTTCCATTTGTGCCGCTTTCATATTTGGTGAGTGTGGATGACCTTATGTACGTGTTCAATAACTTACTTCATCAATTAAGTAATGGAGACGTGGAGCCTCCTTGTTGTATATGCTAAAGAAAGGATTTATGGGGAAATACCCTCGACATCCAGTTACTAATGAACGTATGGCACTCATCTCTAATTTAGATGAGTTTAACATGTATACAGTTTTTTTCACACATTATATCAAAATGATACATATACTTATTAAGTGTAAGTTTTTGACATAGGTACCCATGAGGCAGAGTAATATGAGATTTCACTTACAAACAGATGCGTATTGTGTTTGAGAAGATTGGGGACCATTTGAACCCAATGCGCCAAGAGTCGGAATTGAAGGTATGTACACTATGTTTAATAAGAGTTTTTAAGCAACAAGTATTGTAACTTTGTTAAGTTGGTAAGCTGTTTGACATATTAATTTTGTAGATTTGGATCCTGGAGAAATTTCCCAATAGTAG